AGGCAGCTGACATGACATGAGCTGGGCCGGGCGCTGTGACTCACACCTATATTCTCAGCTCATTGGGAGGCCGACGTGGGAGGATCGTTTGGGCCCAGGAGTCCACGGCCAGTCTGGGCAACATAGTGAGACCTTGTTCCTACAAAAACAAATAAGAGAAATCACCAAGCTGAAATGATGTTAGATGATCTTGAAAGTCACAGCAAAAATGCGCAGCATGGCCTGGGAAGAGCATCAGGAGTGAGAGGGACTACCTTAGGGAGAATCTCTGAATTCCCTAATGGCCGGAGTATACTTCTCAAATGGACCAGTCATTTCAAATCACAGCGCCATTCCTACTGCGGGTGACCACAGTCTGCGGCCCCTTTTATCTCCCTGGGGTCATCAGCCTCTCTCAGCAGGTGGGTGACACCCAGACTCTTTCAGGATGTGGGCTGCCCCAGGGCACGGAACTTGCCTGCTGTGTCACTGGTGTGCCTGAGCACCCACAAGGTGTCTGGCTAGAAGCCAGTAGTCAAGAAACATTTGTGGAATCAGTGATGGGATGAATAAAGCCCGGCTGCCATCCTACTTACAGATACAGCAAACAGGACGGGATCAGTTTCTGCACAGCACCTTTCCCTCAGTCCTCGTCAGACTCATATTCCATTCAAACTCTCCCAAGCTTATAAAGAAGGAAAGGAAAAAGGAATAGGAAGACAGGCCAGAAAGAGGCAGAAAAGGCCCTCGACATCCTGATTTCCTGTGCGACATCCTTCCCGGTGGCCCAGAGCCCTGAAGTGTCCACAGCAGCTGCGCTGCTGAGTAGCGGGGCGGTGGGGGGGTTGCTACCACTGCAGGGAGGAGGAAGAGGAGCTGCCTGCTGAGACCCTGAGAAGACCTGGCCTCTGCGCCCATGCCTCTCCGGGAGTCAGGCGGATGCAAGTAAAGCCCCCAGCAGCTCTTGTCCATCAGCCGAGAGCAGGTGGTTCTGTTAGAAGCATTTCTTCCAGAGTGATGTACAGAGCTTGTGCAAGCAGCGACTATTCAAAAACAGAACCCGAGGTGAGGCCCACAGCCTTTTCCTATTTAGGATATGGCCCAGATCCTGGGAGCTGTTTCCTTGTGGTATGTGTGGGGCTGTAACTGGCCTCCCAGTGACCTGAGAGCTGCCTGCCCTGACTTAGTGAAGACTTGGCCTTGGAAATGATTGCATATCTTTCATCCCGCTTTGAGCTGGAAAGCCCCTGTGGGGTTGTTGGTACACTAAGGCATGTGAAGTAGAGGGCCGGCGTGGGGCCAGCCAGCCTCACAGGCAGGGTGCACTTCCGGCTTTGCCGTCCAGCACTTTGCAAAGTGCTTGTCCACATCTGCACTCCTGCTGTCTCCGGGGCCCTGCCATTAGTTGATGAGGGAGGAGGTCACAGGGCTGTCGTCCCTGGCCAGGCCCCCGCTGTTACTGCTTTCGCTATCTTGGTTTCTCATTATCATCTGATTCATCTGACAGACAGCCCCTTGCTCAGGACGGAGAATCAAGGATGCTGATTGGTTTGGGGAGGGGGGTGTTTATGCTTATTGTTTGGGGGGGAGTGTGTATGCTGATTGTTTGGGGTATGTATGTGTGTTTAATTTCCCATGGCACTTTGAGGTGAAGGGCTGGGAATCTGGAGCTTATGTTGGCAGTTGGTGAGTTTGGGGTTCTTGCCCAGTGTCCTCTGGGTGCCACCTTCCCTTTGGAAACACTGAACCCCCGTGAAGACCTCGCCCCTGGGAACGGCCTGCCAGTGTGCTTCCGTGTCCTTGCCTCGCCACAGGGTGTGTTGGGGCTCGTGTGGACCTGGTGGGTCTCCACAGGAGCGGCAGCTGCTGCTTCCCACCTTCCCTGTTGCACCATCTCCAGCACAACATTTCTGCAGGTTTCACAGCCCAAAACACGCTTTCTCTAGGGACTGGCGTGTGAAGGATCTGAACAATTCTGAGTGCTTCTGGTTTCTTTTTTGTTGGTTGTAGCCAAGCCCAAAATTAAATCAGCATTTCCACTCCCAGAGCTCCGGCCCTGGGCCTGGACTGCCAAGTTCTGCTGCCTGATGACCCGTTAGTCTGCAGGGTTTGCAGCATTTCCAGGGCAGTGACAGTGGGAGGACTGAGTGTCCGTCGTCCAGTGCCAGGTTCTCTGCTCCAAGAAGCTTTTGTGAAGTGCTGTGTCCCTCAGCCAGCAAATTACAGTGAGGAGGAGATTATGGTGAAGATGCCCAAATGGGAAGGCAGATAGGACTGTGCCTGGTTTTTCTTCTCCATGTCGTAAGTCTAGCGACAGCATGGTAATCCCCTGAATGATTCTTGGTCCCACTGCTCACTAGCTGTGACCTGAACTTGAGTTACTTCCTTTGCAAAATCATAGTGCCTCCCCCACAGAATGTATTTTTTCCAGCTGGCTAAGTCCATATGCCTCCAGAACACCTTTCTTGACTCTGTCGATGTGCTAACTCGCCATCTTTACGTGGTCCCATGACGGCGTGCATACTTCAGTCGTGGTAGTTGACACGTTGCGCTGAAATTGTTCCTGCAGGACTGTCTCCCAGGCGCTAGCCTGCAGCTCTTTTAGAGTGGAGAGTCTTAATCTGCGTTGTTTTCCATGGTCCTAGTAGAGTTCTTGCGGGACAATCCACGTTACCCACGTCAAACAGACGCCACATGTATTCCTACGTGTTTGTTCACTCTACCTGAAAATTGCTTGGATCGGAATTGATGAGTGTTCGTTGTTTGCTTCCCTGAAGGGATAGTTATTCTATTTTTCTTCTCCCTTCTAGAAGAAATGCCCGTTTTTATTCCATGTTTATGGAATTCCCAGAAAGCTGCTTCTTGGGTAGTTGATTGACTTTACCTCCCTTTCTCATGTTTCCATTTCATGGCAGGTGTCAAAAATAAATGATGGAAAGAATCAAATGGTGCTGCAGTCAGGGTATTCTCAGCCCTCTCCCCTTCGTTATGGGGAGGCCGTGGGATTTGATGAGAAACAGGGGATGAGCAGACTGGGATTTGGGAATGGTGAGCTGGTACAGTTAGGGCCTTTGCTCTCCCAGGGCACAAGTGATCCCAGGTAACCTTCGTCAGACAATGACCTGAATTTGGACATGAATACCCCACTGGATCTTGTTTTTCAGTAAAGATGCTCTAGTAAATAAATGTGAAGGATGCCAGTAATTCCAACAGATGTGCCAAGACTTTATCCTGTGACTGCCAGTGTTCATGGAAAGCTCTTTCTGAGGCTGTCGCAAAGATGTTCAAACACTGCCCACAACAGAAGTGCAGGCTTTCAAAAAACACTTGTGCACAACCTGACATGCCACAAAAATTGCTGAGTCACCCGCCGCTTTCCTTTAGCCGGGTTTTGCCTGATGGAACACCTGCCTCTCAACACAGGCTTGTATGACGCGGCATCCCAAAACCAGTGTAGTCTCCTAGAGCTTGGAATGTTGCAGGAATTGCTGGCCTGCTCCCTCCGGCATCTCTGCCCCTTCCCCGCCTCCTTAAAGGTCTGGTAACACCAGGCTGCTGCCACATGGCACTGCGCCTCAGCCCTGTTTCTCAATAACTGGAGCCAGTGCACATGGCATACCCGTGTAGGAGGACACACGTGGTGGTGGAAACATGACCGGACACCAGACTTGCCGCTTCACTCGTGTTTCCTGGGCACTCCCAGGAGGGTCACCATGCATGGGGGATGCAGGGTCAGCACGCACCCCCGTGTGTGTGTGTGTGTGTGTGTGTGTGTGTGTGTGTGTGTGTGTGTGTTTCACTCAGTGTTCGTGGCGGCCCTGGGAGGTCGGTGTTGCCATCATGTATGGATGTGAAATGAGCCCCAAGGAGTTCTGTGATTTTTCTAAGACCCTTCAACCTTGGAGCCAGGCGTGTGACCTGGGGTTGCCTGCCTCCACCTGGTCCTGGTGCTACTTGTATTACAGAGGACACACCCGAGGACACTTGATGGGCCTCCTCTGACCAGAATCAGAGGACAAGGGACGTCAACAGAGAATAATGGTGGTGATAAGGGAGGCAGCAGAACTCCTCCACATTAAAGGAAACCAAAGCACAGTCGTAAAATTTACTTTTTAAAAAGTCCAAGTCCATAGCAGTACCTGAAAGTATAAAGAAAAAAATGGGAAAAGTGCTTCTTTACCAAAGAATGGTAGTGGAGGAGGAGTGATGAGGTTTTAAAATCACCGTGTTGTGACCCCCTCTGCATACGCAGGACTCCGGCCAAGGCCGCCAGTGATGCTGAAACCACAGGGTGAAAAGACCCACAGAGGACTGCTTGGGAAGTGTGCCTGCACATTGAAAAGAGGCCTGGGTGCCACTTGCATGAGCGGCTGGGCCTGGTGTCCTTCCTCTGAGCAGCAGTGCTGCTATAGGGGTGGCATCACCCACGTGGCCTTATTAAACAGGAAGTTCCTTATCTAACCCGTCAGGAGACAGGTCCATAGCATGAGACGTTCTGCAGGCAGCTCGCGGGCCCCTTCAGTGGCAGGGCACACACGCCTGGTGGGGGCAGATCCTGGGATTCTGTGGTGACCCACAGCGGGGGACACACCTGGGGCAGCCCACAGTGGGGCGTGAGCCTGGTGGGGTCTTGGATCCTGGGGCAGGCTGCAGTGGAGATGCCCTTCTCAGGCAAGGCTGCTTCAGGGACTCCTGGCTGCCTGCAGTCTGACGCACCCCTCACCACCAGTCACCCTGTGAGAAGGCTGCATCTCCCCTCTAAGGGCTGGGGTTCAGGGGGATGAAGGAGCGAGAACGCGCTTACCTGGAGGGCAGACTGGGCCGCACTCCTTTCTCCTGCGTAGTGAAGTTCCCACTCGGAGGCCAGGGGCCTTTCCTGGCCTCGGGCAACTTGGCGAATGCCCTGACCTTCGACGTGCCCCATGCTCTGGTGGAGGGCCCGCAGCCTGGGTGTCAGCCCCCACCCCCACGCCCCATCAGTGGTCAGGGCTCAGCACGGTGCTTCTGTGCTTGTCCCGCAGGTTCAGGCGTGAATGGCCTGGAGGAGCCCAGCATCGCCAAGCGGCTGAGGGGCACCCCGGAGCGGATCGAGCTGGAGAACTACCGCCTATCTCTGAAGCAGGCGGAGGTGCTGCAGGAGGTGCCCGAAGAGACACAGGCTGAGCACAACCTGAGCAGTGTGCTGGACACGGGCGCCGAGGAGGACGTCGCCAGCAGGTCAGCACACAGGGCTGCAGGGTGCCCACCCACCACGCGGCCCTAAGAGCCTCCTCACCACTATGTGCCTCTGTTTCCCCTCCGTGAAAGGACGTAATGCTAGTTGCTTCCTCACAGAACTGGCATGCGAGGGGAGTGAGCCTACGCGCTGACTGTTGAGAGCAGCACTTGGCTCAAGGAGGCCCTGCAGGTTACACGGCACAGCATCCATGCCAGTGGCCTCACTGGGTCTTCCTCACAGGAGCCCCATAAAGTAACCAGGAAGCTGTTAGTGACCACAGCTGGGGTCACTGAGGCTGGAGCTGAGATTCCAACTCAGGCTTCCCTGGGGCCAGCCCAGGAGATCTGCTGTCGTCTCTGCTGCCTGCAGTCTGTTCTCCCAGTCCCTTTTAGGTTCTTAGCCCCATCCTCCATCAGACTCAGCTCAGAGATTCAGGAGATACTTATTCCTTCCTGACATGTCCCCAGCTCCGAGTTCGTCATTGGGAAGGAAAGGGGCAGGCTCTGCCCCCAGGTGGTTCACAGAATCAGCAGAGGGAAGGACAGGCACAGGGGAAGGACTTTGGGTGACTCAGCCGCCAGCACACCAGGCTATCTTGAGGAGGCCAGCTCATCTCTCCAGTGGGTAAGGAAAGGGGCTGAAAACTTGTGCCCCAGGGCCACATGCAGTACCAGTGGATGCCTGCTTAGCCAGTCCCGGAGCTGTAATCATGTCCAACCGGGTGACGCCTGTGGGGTGTACATGCTCTGACCCCGGGACCCCCTGTGTCTGCTGTCCTGCACCCCAGGGCTTCCAGTGTCAGCAGAGACAGGTTCAAAGTGCTCAGCCAATTACAGATGACCAAGAGAGCCAAGAATAAATGAGTGGCCTGTGTCTTGCAGGGCTTCAGGACAGGGACACAGGCTGCAACCCCGAGGGGCGTAGGCGTCAGGGGCCTGGAAGAGCATTTGAGCCACACACCAGTCACCTTGAGTTAGCCATGACGAAGGGAACATGTGGGGATAGGGAGAACAGAAGGTCCAAGAACGCTTTCCAGAGGGTGTTTGCTGGGCCGAGCTGCTTTCAGCTGCACCCGCCACCTCAGCCCTCATGTCAGAGACCCTCTGACTGGACCCGGTCTTGGGCGGCCTCACAGATTGCACCTCCATGCATGCCGGGGACAGCCTCAGCCTTGGCGTCTGCAGTTCCAAAGCTGTCACTGATGGTGCATCCTCATCCAGACCTCTGCTTCCCTATCCAGACCACCCAGGGAGGTCCCACCCTCCCGGCTGTGCCCAGATGAGGGGGAGCCCACATTCTCTCTACTGACCCTGCAGTGAGGGTGAGAGGTGCCGTGTGTCGAAACGAAACACACGTATAAACCCTTGAGCTACTGGCTTGACCTTGGGCTAAGTGTCGGTCAACACCATTTTCTCCACTGTAATTCATCAACTGGGAGAGGCAGTGGGGCAGCAAGTTCATGTAATGTACCAAGGACATCGAAGAAAGGCTAAACCCTGGCGTTAACAGCAGGTGTCACAGAAGGGCAGCACAGAAAACATGAAACCATTGCATCTACGCAATGCAATACATGCACCATCTTACTCAAATTCAAGTTTAAAAAAAAGATTTTAAAACTAGCATTCAGGCTGGGCGCACTGGCCCACACCTGTAATCCCAACACTTTGGGAGGTCAAGGTGGGCAGACCACTTGGGGTCAGGAGTTCAAGACCAGCCTGGTCAACATGCTGAAACCCCGTCTCTACTGAAAATACAAAAATTAGTTGGGCTTGGTGGTACATGCTTGCAGTCTGAGCTACTTGGGAGGCTAAGGCAGGAGAATTGCTTGAACCTGGAAGGCGGAAGTTGCAGTGAGCCAAGANTTTGTGTTAAAATGTAAAACAGATTAGAATAATATAAGCACAGGTTGTGTGTGGTGGCTCACACCTGTAACCCCAGCACTTTGGGAGGCTGAGGTCCAGGGGATGATTGGCTGCACTCTAGACCGGGTGACAGAGCCAGACCTTGTCTCAAGAAAAAAGGTCAGGAGTTTGAGACCAGCCTGGCTAACATGGTGAAACCCTGTCCCTAGTAAAAATACAAAATTAGCCAGGCATGGTGGTGGGCACCTGCAGTCCCAGATCTTGGGAGGTTGAGGCAGGAGAATCGCTTGAACCTGGGAGGTGGAGGTGGCAGTGAGCCAATATCACACCACTGCACTCCAGCCTCCATGACAGAGCAAGACTCCATCTCAAAAAACATAATTAAAAATAAAAATTAGCATTCAGTGCTATACAGATTGAAGAATAGTCTCTTAAAAGCGAAGAGCTGGCCAGACACAGTGGCTTACGCTTATAATCCCAGCACTTTGGGAGGCTGAGGCGGGTGGATCATTTGAGGCCAGAAGTTCAAGACCAGCCCGGCCACCATGGTGAAACCTCGTCTCTACTAAAAATACAAAAATTAGCTGAGCTTGGTGGTGCACGCCTGTAATCCCAGCTAATTGGGAAGCTAAGGCAAAAGAATTGCTTGAACCTGGGAGGCAGAGGTTTCAGTGAGCCGAGATAGTGTGCCACCACACCACTGCACTCCGTCCTGCCCAACAGAGCAAGACTCCACCTCAAAAAGAAAAAGTTAAAAATTAAAATAAAGGCAGGTCGTAGTGGCTCATGCAAGAGAATCGCTGGAACCCAGAAGGCAGAGGTTGCAGTGAGCCAAGATCGTGCCATTGCATTCCTGCCTGGGGGACAGGGTGAAACTCTACCTCAAAAAAAAAAAAAAAAAGAAAAGAAAAAGGCCGGGCACAGTGGCTCACACCTGTAATCCCAGCACTTTCGGAGGCCAAGGCACACAGATTATGAGGTCAGAAGTTCGAGACCAGCCTGGCCAACATAGTGAAACCCTGTTTCTACTAAAAATACAAAAATTAGCTGGGCATGATGGTGCTCGCCTATAATCCAGCTACTTGGGGAGGCTGAAGCAGGGAGAATTGCTTGAACTTGGGAGGCGACGGTTGCAGTGAGCCGAGATCGTGCCGCTCTACTCCAGCCTGGGCGACAGTGCAAGACTTCGTCTCAAAAAAAAATTGTTTTTTCATTAAAATTAAAATTAGCATTCAGTGCTATACAGAATGAAAAATAGTCTCTTAAAATTGAAGAGCTGGCTGGCACGGTAGCTCACGCCAGTAATCTCTGCACTTTGGGAGGCTGAGGCAAGTAGATCACTTGAGGCCAGAAGTTTAAGACCAACCTGGCCAACATGGTGAAACCCCACCTCTTCTAAATATACAAAAATTAGCTGGGCATGTTGGCAGGTACCTGTAATGCCAGCTACTTAGGAGGCAGACTCTGTCTTTTAAAAATTAATTAATTAATTAATTAATTAAAGGCCAGGCGCAGTGGCTCATGCAAGAGAATTGCTTAAACCCAGGAGGCAGAGGTTGTAGTGAGCCAAGGTCATGCCATTGCACTCCAGCCTGGGGGACAGGGTGAGACTCCATCTTAAAAAGAAAAAAAAAAAATTACAATTAGTATTCAGTGCTATACACAATAAATAATAGCCTCTTAAAAGTGAAGAGCCGGCCTGGTGGCTCACGCCAGTTTGGGTGGCTGAGGTGGGCAGATCACTTGAGGCCAGGAGTTTGAGACCAGCCTGGCCAACATGATGAAACCCCATCTTTACTAAAAATACAAAAATTAGCCGAGCATGTTGGCAGGTGCCTGTAATCCCAGCTACTGGGGAGGCTGAGGCAGGAGAATCACTGGAACCTGGAACGTGGAGGTTGCAGTGAGCCGAGATCATACCATTGAACTCCAGCCTACCCAGCAAGAGCAAAACTCCAGCCAGGTACAGTGGCTCATGCCTATAATCCCAGCACTTTGGGAGGCTGAGGCAGTCAGATCACTTGAAGTCAGGAGTTTGAGACCAGCCTGGCCAACATGGTAAAACCTGTCTCTACTAAAAATGCAAATACTTGCCAGGTGTCGTGGCACGAACCTGTAATCCCAGCTGCTCGGGAGGCTGAGACAGGAGAATTGCTAGATCCTGGAAAGGGGTTGTTGCAGTGAGCCAAGGTCACGCCATTGCACTCCAGCCTGGGAAACAGGGTGAGACTCCATCTCCAAAAAAAAAAAAATTAGCATTCAGTGCTATAGAGAATGAAAAATAGTCTCTTAAAAGTGAAGAGCTAGCCGAGCACAGTGGCTCACACTTGTAAGCCCAGCACTCTGGGAGGCCAAGGCGGGCGGATCATTTGAGGTCAGAAGTTCAAGACCAGCGTGGCCAACATGGTGAAACCCTGTCTCTACTAAAAGTACAAAAAGTACCTGGGCATGGTGGTACACACCTGTAATCCCAGCTACTTGGGAGTCTAAGCCAAGAGAATCGCTTGAACACGGGAGGCGGAGGTTGCAGTGAGCCAAGATTGTGCCATTACACTCCAGCCTGGGCAACAGAGGGAGACTCCATCTCAAAAAAAAAAAGGTGAAGAGCCCAGCCTGATGGGGTAGTTCCTGCCTGTAATCCCAGTACTTTGGGAGTCCGAGGCAGGCGGATCACCTGAGCCTAGGAGTTCTAGACCAGCCTGGATGACATGATGAAACCCCATCTATCTCTACAAAAAAATACAAAAATTATCCAGGCCTGGCTGTAGTCCCAGCTACTCAGGAGGCTGAGACAGGAGAATTACTTGAACCTGGGAAGCAGAGGTTACATCGAGCCAAGACCATGCCATTGCTCTCCAGCCTGTCAGACAGAGCAAGACCCTGTCTCAACAACAACAAAAGCGTCCAGGGGAAGGAGCTGTAAATGTCTTACTCCCTGGATGGCGGTAAGACACAGGAAGCGTGTGGTGTCTTCTTCTCTCTTCCCTGAGCACCAAGCACAGAGTTGGGTGCATTTCCAGCCCTCAGTCCTTCCTTGCTGAGATGTTAGACTAGAAGATGAGAAATGGCATAGTTTTAAGGCATCAATCAGTCTAGCCCAGGAACTCTCATGTCACAAGTTCAGTGAACTCGTTACT